CCCCCCCCCGGAGATTATCACTGATTATCACACATAAAATCTTCTAATCACGCGTTCAGTTCTCCTTCCTCCCGCAGCTGCTTTGTCTGGCTGACTGACTTCTGTTCTGCCCAGTACGGGCTCCTTTGTCAAAGTCATAGTGACATTTCGTCTGACAGTCAGTCAGTCTTGGTGTTGAGCCCAATTTGGGGCTCATGACCAGATATTTATTACTGTTTGACAGTTTAGGTCTTGTTATTGTGGGGCACCTCTGATGAGAGGTCAGGTCTGTCTTTTGTTATTTCAGTTTCTCTTGTAAACCCTCAATCTGACAGGCGGAAAATGCAGCTTGCTTCACTGTTGCATGACTGCCGTGTTTACAGAGGCGTTGCTTGGCAACACTCTCAAGAGTTGTTTACTGTTTCGTAGCAACCAGCGCGATTCGGCTTGGCTCAGCATGGCACAGCACGGCATGGAGAAACGCATCTTTCGTTCTTCTTGTGTAACTTGGCAACTGACCGTTCATTAAGAGTCTGTCTTCGTGGTAACTCATTCTACATCCCGTTGCTTAACAGTGTTTTGACATGTCACAATATGCTAGACCAGCAGCCTTCAAATAGAGCTACTGAAATCATTTTAAAGGAAACACAAAATATGAAAGTATTTTTATGATTTGTGTTGTATACAGCAGTATCAAATACAAAACTACACACAGCAATATTATGATTAATATTTCCATATTTTAAATTCTTAGATACAGGTCACAAGGTCCATGGGTGAATGAAGGTTAAACTAATGCTAATAGGGTTACTACAGCCCAGCACCTTATTGTTTGTGAGCCTACTACTGTGCACTGTGGGGTGCTCTTCAAGGCTGCACCTTAAAATAGGATAAGTCTGAAAATTCACAATTTTTTTGTAAGATGATTTTATTACATTGTGCGTCTGACTAATAAATCACCTTGTAATATATGTGCCGTAAGCATTTTGTGTGTATGAATTTTGGTTAGCTGGACAGTGATATAAGGCCCCTGAAATGAATTTCAAGTGTTATGTCAATGTGCAATGTAATAGCTTTTTGCTTCATTCTTTTTATAATGTGTTATCACATTTTATGATAAAATGTTCAAGTAGTTAATTTCTTTGTATCTTTCTTATATAGACCCTATTTGGATAATAATTATTTAAAAAGTACTTGTTCCTTGAAATTTGTTATAATGCTACCTGTAGCTTAATCACCATAAATTTCAAGTGATATTGGTTAAGAGACCACCGTGCTCTAGACTAACTGTGAGTATAGGAGGTATTTGTATTAAGATAGTTCTTACATATTTGTTTATTTTTATTTCCATCTTCTGCATTAATGTAAATCATAATACATTTTTGAGTAACATAATTCTTTTTATATTTTGTATGCTTTAGGATGATCCCATTTTGATTTTGGCCAGATTTTCTTCTGAGCAGTTACGAGATTATGGTTACCATGAAGAAACTACCAACTTGTCAACACAGAATTCTGTGGAGACATCATCACTGCCTGGTCAACATTTGTCTCAAAGTAATGATAATTTCAATCCTGTGGTTTATGTTGAAATGGTAGTTGCAAGTGGTAGTTACAAATTTTGATTGTTGTCTTCTGGATTTTGGTACTGTATAGTCTGCGGTGGTTAATTACACTTGCAGCATTGAGCCATGTAGTCTTGTAGGTTACTGACAGTAATGTATATTTAAAATAACTTATATGCACAAATATCATAGTTTTGATGCAGTGGTAGTGGGAGTTATTTTATTATTCATTTATAGTTTATTTAATGAGGCTGTCATTAACCGAGACTCTGTAGTGCCAAATGAGTTGATGATGCTGAGTGATGAATTGGAAAGGATGTGGAATAGAGTGGTTATGTCCTGATTGAATGAATGAATGAATGAATGAATGAATGAATGAATGAATGTATAAGGGGTGGGCCTTCTTGGCCCTTGCACCACAACCACAGTGATCTATTGTGCCTCATGTCCTGATTTATAGTACTATTCTGGAATTTTCTGGGGGAAACTGGAAAACTATGAAGAACTTCAGCCAGGACAGTCAGTGTCCCACCGAAGATTCAAGTCAGACACTGCTCAAAATACAAGTCAGAAGTGTTACCACTGAAGTAAATTTGCTCAGTGAATGAGGACTAGATGTACCACAGACACATCTGATATATTTCACTGATAGGTCATGTAAACAGTATTTTAAATGTGACTTCATCTGATGGATGAAGTAATTTTGAGTCAAAGAACAGTGTTATAAAAAACTTATTTCTGGCTAGCTGCCATAGAAGAAAATGGCTTGAATAAGCAGTGTGTGTTTGTATACCTACCCCCTCATTACATTCAAAAGAGGTGGATGAGGAACTGTCATGTAGGATCCTGGTAACATGTAAAACATGTGTGTCAAAGATTTAAACTTTTCTTGAGGCCATTTTTGTCTTAAGTGGAAAATATCTTGGTTGTATAAATTATGGGGATATTCCATTAAAATAAATTCGCCTGAGCCTTGAAAGAAATGTTTGTTAAAATAAAACTTAATTGAACCAAGAATTTTTGAAAACAATTAACAGGTCTTGGAAAACACTGTACTATGTGTAAGTTCTGTATTTGTACAAAGGAAAAGAAATTACTCTTTTTAGCCTCTCTTGTTTCTTGGAGTATTGTGTAATATTTCCATTGCCTTTCACAATTTATTTGGACATTACTTTGTACTTCTTCAGGTAATATAAATGATGGCTACACGACAGATGGATATGACTCTGAAATGGAACCATGTCGCCCTATATCAAGGATTTCTCTGATCCTACCATATGATCACAGTGAAGATGACTGTGATAGTCACTCTCTTTCAGAAAATTTATCATATACACTCAGTCGCCCAAATTCTGTGATGTCTATTGGTGGTTATACAACCTATTATGAGACTGATTTTGATACTGAGGATGAATTAAAGTCACATCCAATTACAAAATCACGAAAGAAAATTGAAGCTGTCTATGGCCACATCCCAGGTAAGAAAATGGATAGTATATATTTTGGTTTTTGGTGATTTCCAGGATACAGATACACTGGAAATCTCATGAGTTAGTTCTGTCTACTCCCTTATGAGGAGAGTCCGTAAGTTGTTGTTGTTGTTGTTTTTGCTGCTGCTGCAGGAGGACGGACATTCAGTGTGGTTGCTCCTGTTTCGCTTGATTGCTAGGCGAGTTAAGAGTGTTTAGTGCATATGGGCCTACTACTACTGTAGTTATGGCGAGTAAGGACATGTGTCTCCTTTGTGATAAACTGTTTAATGGCAAGCAGAAATGCATTTGATATTGTGTATGTGAGTTGTGTTTCCACTGTAATTGCCTGAAAACTAATATATCTTGAGTGTAACCTTGACACAGCTACCGGTATGTTATCTTTCACCTATGATAATTGCGTTATTGGAAAGGAGCAGTCACTTGTTAGAATAATATATACAAGTCATTATCATCTGGGATAGACTGTCTGTATCTCCTGCTATGGATAATGACTCCCTTAGCTGGCAGCTTGAAGCGGTTCATCTTAATGGAGTATGCACCATGGAGATGGTGAAATCCCTTATGGAAAAGGTCATGAAGCTTAGCTGTGAAGTGCAAGTACTGAAAAGCAATAATACTACTCTGAAACTCCAGTTGTGCGATTTACATCAGTTTCACACACCTCCGCTGTCCTTATCAACAGAGGCCCTTTCATCTACATGTGATGCTGCTAAACCTATAGGGATGTTTTAATTTCGGGAGGTGGTCACCCTGCTTCCACTGCTGTATCATCCAGACCCAACTGGCAGACCTCACTACCTGAGTCCTCTGCTATGCCTAGCGACAACCAGGCAGTGGATGGCTTCATAACAGATCTGAGGAAAAGGAAGGAAAATCATCCTTCTATACCTTCAGGATGCCCGACCCTCCGAGGAGAACTAGGACTACACTTTTTGGTAACAAAAGTAGCTCATCTCTTTAACTGTACCCAAGGGAGTCAGAACCGAGGCACTTTTTGTCTCCCGATTCTCTCCTGATGTAACATCAGCTGACGTTGAGCAGTCATTAAAAGATGAATTGGAGCTTGCGTTCCTGACATGCACTGAGTTAAAAACAAAGTACTTCATATTCCTCCTTTCACATTGCTGTTTCCAAAGATGATTTTCATCTAATTAACAATACAGTTGTCTGGCCAATTGGTTGTCTAATCACCCCTTATTATGAGCGATTAAATCCAGATCAGATCTACTCTGCTGAAAAATCAACCGTGTCTAGGCCCCCTTCCCCTATTACAGATGTTTCTACCCCTGACCGTGCAAGTGGTTCTGTTAATCCTGAAGGAGCCCTGGTGGAGGGCATCGACACACTTGGATAATGGCTGATACAAGCTACAAGAACGTGCTTCAGCCGGGTCACACGTGCAACCTGTAACATGTTTTGATATTTATTATCAAAATGTCAGAGGCCTTTGGACCAAGCAGTTTAAACTTTACAGTAATGTCTGTTCTACCAATTATCATATCCTCTATTTGACAAGTTTAGATCATAATATATTTCCTGACAGTTAACACGGTTTTTCACTCCGATCTGGTGTCTGCTAATAGACACGTGACAGTGGAGTGCTTACTGCCCTCTCTTCTAGAATTGGCTCTTTTAAATGTAGGTATGATTTATAATCCTGTGACAAATGTGTTTGGGTTGAAATTCCCACCCTGGACACTTTAAATTTGCTCCTTGGTAACCATTATTTTCCCCCTGATACCAAACCTGAAGTCATTACCAATTTCTTTCGCTCTTTAGAAGATAGGCTGGATACCAAAAACTTTTGAGTTGTTATGGTGGGGTATTTCAACATTCCTGTTTCGACTGGAATCATGGTCTGTCTGTTCCTGACTGCCATTATTACTCTAAACTCAGGAGTGATGCGATCTACACGTCCACATGTCTACCTAACCTGCAACAGTGCATCAAGGCTGTTGGCAGCAGCAGTTTGCTTGATTTGGTTTTCACAAACTTTAATGACTATAATATTACCTTTCCTGACTCAGGAATAATAAAGCCTGATACTTATCACCCTCCTATGGTTATTGGCATTAGTCTGCCTCTTGTTAACCCTACCCAAAATTGTGAGTATTTATATCATAATCATTCTAATCCTATCTTCCCTCCTTTTTCTTCCATTTTATATATCTCGATTATCTTTTCTCTAGATCTACCTATCATGACAGTGTCATCCACATATGCACATATTTGGCTTGATTTTATATAAATTAGATTCTAAAGGGTTCTGACAATGGTGGGTGACACACAGAATTACTGGGGTTTTGGACTCTTTCCATCATCTGAAATTTTAGGTAACAGAGGACACGATGTTTCGGAAACTGGATCTGTTTCCATCCTCAGGTGAGAAAGGAAGACACCTACTCAGTTGGGCCCCTTAGAAGGAGCTAAATTCAGTCACTGGATTGGGTGATTTAGATTAGCTTTTCATAAGGGGCCCAACTGAGTAGCTGTCTTCCTTTCTCACCTGAAGATGGAAACAGATCCAGTTTCCAAAATGTCATGTTTTCTGTTACCTAAAATTCTGGATGATGGAAAAAGTCCAAAACCCCAGTAATTCTGTTTGTATAAATTGTTCCTCTCTGATCATGGCACATTCCTGTGGTAATGCTAAATGCACTGTTACTCTGAGTTTTGATGGAGCTGTTGGAGACATATGGATGGTAACGACATTCTTAACAGACTGTTATCATGGGTATGAAACAGAACTCGGAGGTGATTCCTGTCCCGGCCGCCTAGCAGGAATAAAGGGAGAGCAGTTGAGAAGCCATCAATTCAGAGTTCAGAATTGGAGTTCAGAGCTTAGAAGTGAAGTCAGAGAGAACACAGAAAGTGTGTGAACTGTTATAATTGAGTGTAATTGTGATACTGACATCAAATAAACCTAATCATCCAATCCAGAATCCACAATTATTAGTCATGTGTACCCCCCTACACATGACAGTCTGGTGTCAGAATTGGTTGGATTTAATCAATTAGGACCAGTTACTGGATTTATGATTGCATCATATACCTATATCTCACATTATGGAAATGCAACAGGTGATAGAATGCCCATTGGCCGGCCAAAAACAAATGATGGCCAATATGAAAATCAACCAAGAAATGATGGCCAGGATGGATGCCAACCAGCTGAAGGCGGACAACAATCTCAGAGAAATAAGGTCCATAGTTAATGCTTGAATAGTGGACATGAAGAACAGCTGAAAAGGGAAGATGGCTTGCCAAGAAAAGATGGAGGCACGTCTGGAAAGCGAGGAGCCAACCTCAGTGGACATGGAACCTGAGTTGGAATGAGAGGTCCCTAAGGAAGAAGCCGCCGTGATGCTAGTTGGAATGTTGAGGGAGCAGTGAAGGGACTGAAATCTGGTCGCGCAGCACTGCCAAAAGCTGAAGGAAAGGACCCGGTGATATTGTGGAGCCCGGAAGAAATTGGTTGCAGCTCGCAAAAAGATGACCCGCCATGCAAGAGTGGCATGGCGCAAGAGAGGCGTTGTCAGAAAGAATTGGACCAGGTTCAAGGTTAAGGGAGCAACTTGGAGAGTAGGGCCACTCAGGAAGAATCTATGGACACTCAGGGAGTGAGTGAGGATGCCCTATGAAGGCAGGAGAAGATTGAAGGAACTAGGCAGCAGATGGCCACAATATCGGAAGAAATAAGACCTAATGAAACTACAATTGGAAAGCACGGGAAGACAACCGGACTGGACATTGTGGAGGGGTCAACCCCCTCTGAAACAGAAAGAGAAACTGCACACAGAGCAGGAGCTAGTAATATGGAGGCACTGGCCACCCAGGATGGTTTAAACCCACCACGTGAAAGGAAGAACTTTGGATGTTGATGAGAAACCTCAATAAATTGGAACCTCATAAGGGAGCCACTCAGGACAAGCACCCTTAAGGCGGGAACAGTGGTAGCAGTTGGAGAGATGCCACTACAGAGAGAGAAAAAAACAAAACAAATGAGCTATGGGAAGGACAGCAAGACAGGCTGCAGACATTGCAAGCATAGCCCTCGAGAGGAAAAGGAAGGTGATATACTGTTAGTCTGTTTGGGATGAACAGCCTTAAGGAGGGAGTAATGTGACGTGCAGCCTGAAAGCCGCAACCTGCGCGTCCACTTGGCGGGGCTTCACAAGGCATGTTCCTGTGGTAACACGAAATACACCGTTCCCCTGGGTCTAGATGGAGCTATTGGAGACATATCCATGGCAACATTCTTAACAGACTGTTACCACAGATATGACAAACAGAACTCTTCAAGGAGGTGATTCCTATCCCAGCTGCCTAGCAGGAATGAAAGGAGAGCAGTTGAGAAGCTGTCAGTTCAGAGTTCAGAATTGGAGTTCAGAGCTTAGAAGTGAAAGTAGAGCTCAGAAGTGAAGTTGGAGAGAACACAGAAAGTGTGTGAACTATTACAGTTGAGTGTAATTGTGATACTGACATCAAATAAACCTAATCATCCAATCCAGAATCCACAATTATTAGTTGTATGTACCCCCTACACATGACAATACTATGTGTATATGTACCTAAATGGAAGGTGACTGAATTGAAGACAGTCTTCCACAAAGAAACATGTCTACAGATGAAATGTGATTTTATGTGTTATGACATGACAGCTGAAAGCAAGAATAGTGGAACAAGTACAGGGCTAGGTATTGGGATGGTAAACATGTTCCTGCTGCAGCAGATACTGATGAAGCAAATGAGGGATTTCTAAGACACCATTAATAGGCACTGGTGCAGTAAACATGTTTATGCAGAAGATCAAAATGCAACAATAGAGGTACTGTTGGAAGCAGCATTTCCTATGTGGTCCACACCAAGGCTATATAATGAGTATCAGTAACAGTTCACTCATGAGTTGCAAGTTGGTAGTCATAGCTGCTATGTAGCAACAGCTAGTGAAGACAACAGACTGAGAAGACTTAGTATGTGTTGTAGTGATTTGTAGATTGTGTGGATTAGGAGAGAGTATTATAATTATTTGTAGTTATAATTCATAAGTGTTCAGTAAAGCCAGTTATCAGTCCAAACCCTCTGTCTGGTCCCTAACACATGACAGTATTAATTTCATACAGTTATTACAATGGACATGTGAAAGATACTAAATATTTGAAAACATATATTAAGTTATTTTCTTTTCCACATTTTCTGTGTTCACCAGTCCCACCTTCATGATTGTTGCTTTACTATCGCTTTGTAGCTTCAATCGTTCTACAATCAGATTTGTTATATCTCATGGTGGCTGATGTTGAAACATATTTCTGTCTCACTTTCCTACTTGCTATGCTGATGGCAAGATATGGCATGCATGTTAGCATTTGCAACATTTTAGAAACATCAACCCACTATAACCTTAACATTTTTAAAAACTATATTTTTGGTACAAAAATTCAAGACATCCCTTCATTATTTAACTTTGAAAATACAGAAAGAACTCCAGTCTTCCTTTCGAGTAAGCATGGTAGTAAATCAAGGTACAGGTTTCATGAACAGATTGGATTTTCATTCACTGTATGTGTATAAAATACTAAATATGGGAAAACTATACATTGTATGTAGTTTTTGCTGGAACCATAAAGAATGAACACAAAATTTGGAATGTCTTAAACCAAAGAACATTAAGTAAGGATTTTTGTGCATTATGAAAAGTGTTTTAGATGGTTATAACCTCAAAATATTCTTGTTATATATCACAGAATGTATATTTAACTGGGTTAGGTTAACTAGAATTTGTTCAGATGAAGGGAAGAGGTGACTCAGTAGACCTAGTCATAGGTGGTAATAGTAAAATATGAGGGTAAGTCAATAAGTAAGTTACAAATGGATATTGAACTTAAACAAATAAGAGTACTGATTTGAAAAAATGCTTTTATTTCCCAACATAATCTCCCTGTACACTGAGGCACTTGTCCCATCATTTCACAACACCCTGAAAACCAGCAGCATAAAATTCTTTGGGCTGCTCTTGGAACCAGGCGGTGACTTCCCTTTCTACAGCTTCATCATTGGGAAAATGTTCTGCTGAAAGATGATGTTTAAGAGGACCGAACAAATGGAAGTTGCTTGGAGCAGGACTCATCACCTGTGACAGGTCGGGCTAGCATATTGTGTCCTTCATCGTGGTAGCAATTGAGATGCTGTAATGCGAGACCCATTCTTTGCATTTTGTGTTGTGGGGTCGGCATGCACAGCACCCATTGTGCACAGACTTTTTGAAAACCTATTCTGTCATGCGGCCCTCTTAAACCTCATCTTTCGGCTGAACATTTTCCTGACGATGAAGCTGTAGAAAGGGAAGTCACCACCTGGTTCCGACAGCAGCCCAAAGAATTGTATGCTGCTTTTTTTCAGAGGCTTGTGAAATGATGGGACAAGTGCCTCAATGTACAGGGAGATTATGTTGAGAAATAAAAGTATTTTTCAAATCAGTACTCTTATTTAAGTTCTATGTCCTTTTGTAACTTACCTATTGACTTACCTACGTACATCTGAGATAAATGGGGTGTGAAGATGCAGACTTGACTGACATGGCTGAAGGCAGGATCCAGTGACATTCCCTTATGTGAATGATACTGAATCTTTAGGTTCTGTACAAGGCAAGGAACTTTTTGGCTAACTGAATGACGTCTTACCAGATTTTCAAGGACTGTGATCCATGGTGTTACTAGATTTGTCGAGTTGTTTCAAACTTATTTTAAATAAAATTTGTGTGTAGGAGTGCCAGTGGGCAAAGAATGGAAATTGAGACGTCAGTGCTGTAGATATTCTGTTCACCAGCCTCTTAAAGCTGCCATCCATGGTGGACCAGAAGGAGTTTATTCTATGGTGCTATCCTTTGTGTATGCAGTAGATGACTATGGTGTTGAATTCAGATACCGTGGTGAGGGTGGACGAGACCCAAAGACAAAGAAGCTTGTGGTGAGTAGTTTTCATCGTTATTATTTTGAACTTTGTAGGTAATATATGGACAGCTTTTTGCCAGATTAAATATATGGTAGAAAGTCCTTGTAGCCATACATTTGGATCCACTCACTTGTGGGTACTTAAAACATTGTATCTTCTTTAAAAGTTGAGTGGTCAAAACATTTTTTATAATTTATATATATTTAGGGCTTTCCTTATATAAAGATTTTGATCACATGCATATTTGTCCATATACCTGCAGTTTTTTCTCGTGGACCACTAATGACCTGTGGACCATGAGTTTGGGAAACTCTGCCCTAATGGGATTAATTTAAGTCAGGTCAGTGGTGCCAACATAAAGTAATTTTTCCTTCATTCTTATGGCTGTTGCCTATAGAATCAGACAAATTCAGATGAATATTTTTTAAATCTTTTGCATTTATTTGAGGAATAACATTTCTGAAAAGTGGCATGTGTATAGTGATGACAATTTAAATTGCCCCTTCCTTAGGGAAGTTCATATAAAATGAAAGCAGTTGTTTAAATTTTTATATCATTGCTTAGAGGTACACAATTTTGTAAGGAATCTGCAAGAAAATATGTTTGGAAGAAAAATAGGGTGAAGACAAAACAACGAAATATTAATACAGTAATGATGATATATCAGAATTTTGAATTTTATGTAATATTTTAATTTCATGATAATTTAATTTGTTGCTGGAATTGCTTTTACAATAAATTTGAGTAATGAATGAAACCAGTGGGGAATGGTGTCATGTCTGGGCCAAAAAGGGTACAAATTTGCACTGTCTCTTCCTTGATCACTTTTCAAAACAGAATACTACACAGAAACTTGCTAACCTACACATTTGGATCATGTAATTCATATAAAAGCCATGAAATTTACAGATATATACAATACATATAATAATAATAATAATAATAATAAAAATAAAAGATTGCACTGCCAAAGGAAATGAAGTGTACCACCATACCATGTTGGAGATGAAATGCTACCAGACTTTTGAGTTACTTTCTAAAAGCAAAACATAATTACATTATTACATTTTACTCCTAGTTATCCACATGCAGATTATGAACTCATATACTGTTCTTTTGATTCCCATCCCTTGTTGATTGTATTCAGGCTTTATATCTCTTCCATTATCTTTTCCAGTATTTGTTCCTGCCAGTCATTTTTATGATATCCTTCACTTTCTTTGAGTTGCAGTTGTGGTGTATTGTGACTTGTTGGGAAAAAGTGTAGATTGAAACTGTATATTGTTCCTCCTAAAATTATGTGACTTGATCAGACCTAACACTAAAGACAGAAGTTATATGTGGTCTAACAACAGGCTTGCGAACTCATCGCAGTAAAAGTGCTACATGCCTCATTGCTGAATATCACTGTGGTTGCCTTCAGAGTACTCCCCTTTGGAAGCCATGCACCGATGCCAGTGCCTAGTCAATCTTTCAAAACAATTTTGGAACTGGTTTTTTGGAATGGACTTCAGAGCTGCCATTGTATTACTCGTAATGTCATCAGCGTCATCAAAATGCCTTCCTTTCAGTATTTCCTTTATCTTTGGGAACAGAATAGAGTCATTGGGGGCTAGATGTGGTGAATAGGAAGGGTGTTCCAGCACAGTTACTTGTTTACTAACTAAAAGCTCCCTCACAGACAGTGTTCTTTGGTGGGCTCCATTGGGACCATTTTTGCCCACATTCCTCATGTCAAGATCTTCAGTTAAGATTTTCCTAACTGTTTCTCTGTTCATGTTTGCTTGCTCTGCTATGCTCCTGACAGTCAGCCAGCGATTTTCACATAATGTGATGAACTTTTGCAAAGTTTTCTGTAGTTGTGCTTGTTACTGGCCATCCTGATCTCTCTTTGTCAGTGACACTTTCTCTTCCCCCAAAAAAACGTGTCACCAACTTGTAAACTGCTGTTGTTTTCATAGCATTATCCCCGTACACTTGCATTAATATCTCTCTGATTTCGCTTCCACTCATGCAAAGTTTAACAGGAAATTTCATGTTCATTTGTCGCTCTAATTCAAGCTCCGACATTCTCGTGACAGCACACAAAAACACACTCAGACAATAATAGACGCCACCCAGAAAGAGACTGCCATAAATCAACAGCAACACATCTGTGAAATGCTTGATATGCCAACATCATCAGACCATCCTGAAGTTTCTATTCACTGTTGCCATGGCAAACACATGATGGTGAGTCCATGAACTTTATTGTCAGACCTCGTATAGCATGCTTCAACCAAGAGTTGCACAACACCCATAAGAGAAAATGTGTGAGCCTATGTACCTTGGATGTCTTTTGAACATAGCAACAGAGAACACAACCCTGTTCCTGAAGGACATCAACTCTTTAAGTAGAAGCCATTCATTCATTAAATTATACTGCAGTTACTTTCTCACTTTATGTACTCCAGTATGTTGGTAATAACATATTGACTGACTAAGTTATGTGATTTGTAATTTTACACATTCCCTGTGTCGTTCATATTGTTATAACTGAAATTAGTTTGTGTTGATTTTCATCATTGAAACTGATGAATTGTAGGGTAATTATTTCTGGTTTAAAGAGATACATGTATGTTTCCAGAGGAGTTCATTCAAACTCATGAGCTGTAGGTTATACAAGTTCATTTCTAGAGGAATTCTTTTTTGTGTGGTTTATTTTATGATGGTGTCAGTATCTAGACTGCACAGCATTACACAGAGCTTGTAGATGTTTCTTGTATTGTAGAATGTTTACCTTTGTTTCACAGTGTGACCAGAAGATGATACGGGGAAATTTGGCACTTGCACATAGTCAAATGACTGGTAATCCTATACGTGTGATACGAGGTTTTCAGCTTCAAAACAAGTATTCTCCTCGTACTGGCTATCGTTATGATGGTAATTTCTTTGATTCATGCATGTTAAGTGACTTAGACTAGAATTCCAGTTGCTACATATTTATTTTGTATAATGAAACCAAATATATGTAATTTTGGAAGAAATATTTATTGTATTGTCTGCAAATAATTGTAACAACAAAAGAAAATAGTGTTCTGCTTCAGTTACAGTTTGGTAATATAAGTTGAAGATTTTTTTAAACATGGACAGTTTTCACCTTTGAATCAGCATCCTCTTTTTTTGGACTCAGAGATTCTGCACATTTTGTTGAAGGCTTTTTTGGCAGGGGAGGGAGGGTTGTACTAGAAGACCCAGATCTCATCATTAATCACTATTTTTCCTAAAGGTCATGTTATTCCAACAGTTTGCTGAAAGATCTGAGTAAATTTTTTCCCTCACATTTTGTTTGTCACAGATCTGTAGGTACCATTCTGGCACAGATTGTCTTCATATGAATCTCACAGTTCTTTTATTTTCACTTCATCTTCTGTCTCCCAGACGGGCAATTGACAATAATTTCTTGCCTTTTCAATTAATGTCCTAATTTCTCTCACATTTAGGTTCCCTTGAAGTTGTTCAGCAGCTGAATCCTTTGTCATATGTAACATCCTCCCATGTACCTTGAAGACAATCCACACAAACCTTTGTTCTCCCATCTCCATAAACTTTCTGTAGTACTTCATTAATGTCAGTGACATTTTTCTCCATTTATACTAAAAATGTAATGTTGATTCTCTGTTCTAACAGTTTAGCCTCTTTATGACAAATAAATGAAATACTGATGGGTGAATCAAATGGTCACATGAATCACAACATGCTATCTTGTATGCTGTACAAAATGTTAGACTTTGTATGAAGTTTATAATTATTTCATTGTTAATTATAGCAGAAGTACATACTTGTACTTACTCATGTGGTTACTTTGAGAATCAGGGAATGAAGTAGCGTGGTTGGTTGAGGCACTATGCTACAAGCCAGAAGGTCATGGGTTTAATTCTTGATGAGGTCACTGGTTTTCTCAATTGACCTAATCCTTCCAGTCACACTGTGGCCCTGAGGTTGACTCAGCCACTAACAGAAATGGGTACCAGGAATCTTCCTGGAGGTAAAGGGCGGCCAATGCATGAGGCTGACAACCTCATTGCTGTCTTTGAGCTGGCTGTCTGGAAAATGTGGGTGCCTTGATGGCTTACAACTCTATGGGCCTCCACTGGTTGTTACAGGGATAGCTTTACTTTTACTTCAAGAATCTTTCGTATACTGTAACAGGAAAGGTAATGTGTAAGCATAAAATAAGTACTCCATAGGCATGTAGTTACTTTAGATGTATCTGCAAGGATGTGTATGATTGGCTGTGCCATAAGTGGTTAGTCGCTGGCTTCCCACCGCGGCAGCCCGGGTTCGATCCCAGGTCTGGTCAAGTGGGATTTGTGGTGGACAAAGTGGCGCTGGGGTGGGTTTTCTCCGAGTACTTCGGTTTCCCCTGCCAATCTTCATTCCACCAAATTCTCCATCATCATAATCACCTGAGGCAGGCTACAGTAGGCCAATCAGTGGCTTCCATGCTGAGTGGACCCAGTTGGACTCCACCTTCCACTAAGCAAATATGTATAATGCATTGAAAGAGGGGTCTAGATATTAGGCCAGAACTAGGTTGGTTTTTATAAATTGTACTTATAATTGCTTGTTTGATTTACATATAGGGTTGTATCAAGTAACCCAGCATTCAGAGTCAGTGGCTAGAGGTGGTTTTAAAGTTTTTATGTTTTACTTGGTAAGATGTGGATATCAGCCCCCACCACCCTGGCATAGTGACAGAATAGAATTGCCATGGCCTAGCCCTGTTCATCAAAACACAAGCGTAAGTGTCTTATAATCACTGTCATTGGGTGAAAGGAAATGCATGATAAAATAAAACAAATGAGAAATACTCGTACTGGGGTGATAGTAGTTGCAGGTCATTCATTATCATTGATAGGTTAATTGTAGCAGTTGTAATATGTATTAAGATAGTGAAAAATACAGAATTAGTAGGTTAGAAATGGCTTAATGTGACATTTCCTCTTTTACTGACAGATTATTCATTTTGTTTTTCATAAAAAGATAATCAACTCTGGCCTTCATAAAACATTACATGTGTCAGGTTGAAACGTGTGTTTTCTATCCTGTGTTCTGCATATATGTCACATAGACCTTTTCTTTTTGAGCATGTAGTTCTTGGATGTATGGGGCCCGCTTGATCTGACTCATATATTGTCTGAAGGTATTAACAGCTTAAGATGTTATGTCTTCAGATAATAAACACAAACCACTTATAATCTATTTTAACTATACAGAACAGTGCCATCATTCTTTCTGCCCAAGAAACAGGATTACTTGTAACCTATGCTCCTATATACTGTGACTATGAAAGAATTGCTACAATTCAGTCCACTTCCTCATCAGATGGAAAAACATGAGCCACTTGCAATCTGTGCCCTTATTACTGTAACAGTGCAAAGCAGTGTGTTCATTCTGTTCCCTCTCCTGCTTTATGAGTTTCTGAAATACAGAGCTATAGACAATGACAATATTTTGTCTGAGCTTCACACAGATTGTGTTTCTGAAGTATCTGATGCTGAAATGAATGAAGCAGAAACTGGACACTGATATAGCCACTGACAGTTCAGGTAAATGGTTATGATTATGTCCATTAGTTTCTGCTGCAAGTGACAGCGAGTTGTGCAATACAGGTGAAGATTAAAATTTTTTAATCATAAACTAATATCCATTCTGATGATGAACTGCAGGATGTATGCCATACAGCTGGTGTGAAAGTGAGTGATGAAATGATGAGCTATTTCTCAGAACCATAGTATTCGTTATAGTTATAGGGTTTCTGAAGTGGTCAGTGCTGTAACTGATGAACTTCCATCAGCTTGTCTAATCTGTACCACACTCAAAATGCACACCAGTGAAAAATATCACCAAAACCACTTAATTATCCAGCATTAACACAGAAATGGAAATATTTCGGGGCCTGATAATTTTTATGAGGGAAGTTAGAAAAGTTAGTATGAAAGACTGCTGGTTAACTGACTCCATGATTTACACTCAAAATTTCTTTTTCCCAAATCATGAGTCAAAACTGTAGAGGCCATCTTGGATGACAACAGCCAGCATACACAGGATGAAGACAGACTTCAAAATGCAACATGTACTGAGGATGTAATTAAGAAGTCCAGATGTATTGTGCAGTTCAGTAAATATACAAAAGGTGATGACAAGTTCAGTCCATGCCTAAGTTATTATTCTACCTTACAGAAACGGAAGTGTTCCAGAAGTGCTATAATGTATGTTCTAAATTCTGCTCTATTGAATGCATTTTTTGTATACAAAAGAAATTAAATTTAAATACAATTTTCTAATGTGGTTGAGGGGATAAAAACACTGAAAGTCCACCACAATTGAGTCCAACTCAGATGCTCATCCCCCATCGAAGGAGTTGGTGCCTTTCTGGCCAAAACAGGACTCTTCTGAGACTGTCAGTGGACTTCAGTGAACATAAACTGCAAAATACTGTTACATCTGGCCGAGAGAAAAGAAGTATCCAGCATGGCAATGTGGCTTTCATGCTACGCACAACAGTGCAGTGAGACAACATGTGTTAGTAAATTTTGCATTGAAGAAAGCAGTCTTCTGGGATGTGGCGCCATGTAAGTATTGTGTTAACTGACGTTTCAGAGGAATGTATCGCCTCCATCTTCAGGGTAGAAGAAAAAGAAGAATTCCACAAGTGAACCAGCATGGGCAGGTGCTAACAGCTTGTGGAATTCTTTTTCTTCTACCGTGAAGCTGGAGGCGATACATTCCTCTGAAATGTCAGTTAACACAATACTTACATGGTGCCACATCCCAGAAGACTGTTTTCTTCATAGTCACCGCCGTGAAAACCTCTAATCTCACAAATTTTGCATTGTTCTGCTGCACAGAGCTCCCTGTTTTATATATTTATAGTTTATTTAATGATGCTGATAATGTCTAAGATTATATATCATTGAATGATATGATGAGGGATGGAGGGAAGTGGTAACAGCCTAATTTAAGGTACTGTCTTTCCAAGATTTGCTTGGAAGGATTGAAGAATACCACGAAAGACCTGTCAAGATGGTATCCTGCTCAGGATTTGAACCATATACTTCCTGCATACAAATCAGAACCACATGAGCCACTGTTGAACTACCTACATTCAGTTTTCATACAGTTTAACACCAGAAAATCATCTGGCACCAAAGAAAGTAAATAAAGTTGCTCCCTGCCTCTGTATGTATAATATATGTGAACTGGGGTATTTAATTAAAAGAACATGATTCACAGTGTGTTAAATATAGGCATGCCCTCTCAGGTTGCAATTAAATACAGTAGAGCCTTGTCCAGTGCAGATTTGCTTATATATCCAGAAACAGAGGCAGAAATTAATAAATGTGAGAAACTTAAATATACACTTTGTGCGCTAGGCCATGACCCAGAACACTGAAATGTAGTCATCCTAATGCTGAGGTAATGTTGTTGCCACCTAATATTACATTAGTCCTGTTACCTATTAATAAATCAGTTGTAAAGACATTTAAATTATTATATTCAAAATGTCTACAGGCATGAAATCCAAGCAGTAGATTCTGGTGCTTTTGAAAACTTTAAACAGTGGAGGTGGGGTCATTCATTTGAGTGTGTGTAAAAAATTACCTATCTAGATATTAATAGTAGACTTCTTGTGACTGTGTTCATATATCTCTATTTAATCCAGTGTTACTACATTTATCTAGTACAGACTTATTTAATGTGCCATTCTCAAGGAACTTAACCCCTGCATTGGATAGTTTACTGTATTCTGTTATTTTCCTGCCAAGCTTTTTAATAAAACAAATAAATAATAATTAGATGAAAGAATTCAAGTTTTTAAAATTTGGTTGTATATCTGTTGCTAGTATTAATTGTTGATATACTACCATAGTCAATAAGTTTGTGGAATGGCCACAAAGCGTTGTACGGGAATTTACTGCCAGTATGTTTCAGCAATGTTTTTGACAGCTATATCAACTTTGGCAGACTTGCATAGCGGCCAACGGCAACTATTTTGAGGGCCGATGTGGATCTGCATAAGTGTATGTGAATACCTTGTAATATGATGCGATAAAACCACATTTCACGAACTTAATGACTCTACCATGTATATCACTTGCATCTTGTGAGAGTGCTTTAAGGTTATATACTGATAAAACCTTTTATTAATGTTTTTAAATTGTAATAATCTGGTTATTCTCTTTGTTTTACACTAGACTTCAGAGGATGAATATCCTGAAAAAGAGGTGCGTGTGAAGCGCGGGCAGCAGAGACCACAGTCATCTCTTATTTCAGATGCTGTAAGATGTCTTACACCTGCAAACATGGCAAGTGAGAATGAATCTCCACCAGTTCTTGAGTTACCAGGATTAAAACGAGAAAGAATACTTCTGTATTCTACTCCCCCTCATATAAATCCAGGTTTTTGTTTTGATTCAACTGCTGTCAAAATAAAAGACAGAGCAGGTAAGTATGTAATTGGAACTGCATCTTTTTATACACATGTACGTATTGGCTAAATTCATATTCAAGTAAGGTAATGCTGAAGTGGCAGTCTAGTATGAAATCACACTAACAGTGGAGACCTGTCTTTCTGTAACACGTAGTAGAAGAGAATGACAGAAGTCGTAACCTGACTTACTGCAGCTCTTGGCCTAGACAACAGCTATAGTGACAGATTTTTTTATTCTTGGTCTTTACAGGCAAATTCTGGGAAGTTCCTTTAACCTTTTGCTATTCCTGTTCTCAGCATTGCCACCTCAGCTAAAGAGACCTTGTCTTTTTAAGAGATACTTCAGTAAACTGAGTGTATGCTACAAAATAGTTGCATGTCTTTCAAATTTTATGTACAGAGTGAGTGGTCACATTGTTTGTAGTCACAAACTTTTGAGTTTCATGACCTGATTGTGAATTCCATCCAGGACAGTGAGGCCTACATTTATCATAGCCGCTAGTTATTACTGGTGTCAGTCTTACAACTTTGAGGATTCTGCATTTGGTCAGCTTCTTATTCAGGCAAAAGAAGAACTGGTCTAAGCTAATCATCTGTTCTGATTCCCAGGGTTGTGGGAGAATTTAGTTCTTGCATTTGCAGCCTGTCTTCATAAGCCTGACAGGAATGGTATGAGGAAATTGAAATCTAAAAACCAGAACTGACAGTAGTATGTCATTGCCACTGGTTCAGTGACTTAATCTTGTAGTCATTTAATCAGCAATTTATGTGTTTCTCAATTGATTCTGGTTACTTCCTCCAACACTTACAAAGTAATAAAGGAAAGGACCTGAAACAAATTGTCACATGTTAGTGACAAGACACTGGATTTGGATAGGTTATTGGATTTATTGGATGCTTACAACTCATAACTTCAACTGATTATAACAGCCTCACTGATTTACACACACTACAGATCACTCAAGTCAGAGTCAAAGTCAAATTTACTTTAAGACTCGCAATTTACTGCCAATCAATTTGTTTTGGCATCAAGCCCTTTAAGACCTATGACCAGAGATTTTTTCTTTTCAACTGAACCTTTGCTGTAATAGTCCTTGTGCAACTTCTCACGGACCAGAGGATGGGTTTGTCTTTTATGAATATGCTTGGCCTTTTGTAAAGTGTACGTATTGCACATATAGCAAATTGAAAATTCTTCCTTTTGCACTGTATGCAAGTTCTCATCAGTACAGGCTTTGCAAAGCAGATCATGCATATCTTAAGCTACAATGGCAGCTTAGTCACTTGTACAGTTGTAAGCTTGACCACCTCCCAGAGTAAGCCTCTTGTATTTTTTGTGTTCAGCTTCACCTTGTCGTATATTTTAAACATCTTTGTTCTCATGATTTTGTATGACTTCTTGTTTCCTGCACAGTTTTGTCATATAATCATATATATACAGAAGGTTGAAAGCTGTATGCAAATCGCACACCGGTGTGCACCTTGGAAAATATCAAGTGGTGTGGAGAACCTTGTTTTGTAGGCACTGCAGTTTTAAGATGAAGGTGTCTGCTGCTAGTTCCCAAGCGGGGCAAGCATAAGTTATTACTGTTCTAATCTGTGCCTTATTGAGGGTTAGTTTAATGTTGGCATTAGCATCCATTTGTCTATATCCGTCTAAATTGCAACACTTGTTTTACACTTCAGTATATTCTTTAACACTTAACACTACATGTTTCAGCCTTAAAGGGCCATCTTCAGGTGTTTTATTACAGATTCAATCAAGACCTTGTTAAAACTGCTACACTGTTTCGCTGTTCCAATTCATTTTGAAACCACACGCTGCAGTCCTCCTTCAATTGAAACAAGATAAAATTCTTTTATAATTTGTTTCACTTCACAGCGAAACAGTGTAGCAGTTTTAACAAGGTCTTGATTGAATATCTGTAATAAAACACCTGAAGATGGCCCTTTGAGGCCGAAACATGTAGCGTTAAGCGTTAAAGAATATATTGAAGTGTAAAAAAAAAGTGTTGCAATTTAGATGGATATAGACAAATGGACGCTAATGTGAACAATTGCAACGGGATGCTGAAATACAGAATCATTAATGTTAGCACTTAAATATTCATTTTTGAATGGAGTGTGAATGGAGTGGATTCTAGTAAATGTTCTCAAGGACTAGGTTTCAATCATTTCTGTGTACATTCTCCATGTAATGCTGTTATTATAGATTACACCCAGATATTTTACATGTTGATGAAGGGGTTATTCCAGCCATTCAGTATAAGATGAGCCTCAGGGGACCTATATAGATCACACTCCTGCTGGTCCTTGCTATATAACCTTGGCAAGGACTGCATAGAAAACACCTTATCTATTGTTGTGTCACTATTTATTGCTGCAGAAACATGTTTATTGTGCCATTGCCTAGGAATGGCCGCCTCTTCTTCCACTCTTCTGGCTTTCAGCTGTCATGTCATGGTGCATTGAAGGACAAAGGCTTACAAAGCCTATGCTTATGGTTTTTTTCTTTGAGAATGATTACAGGCTCATTCTGGTATGTGTCATTCTTTTTTCATCCTTGTCATGTTCTGATGCCTAATAAGTAAGAGAACAATTCATAGTGCTTACCTAACTAAAATTGTTTATACTGTATTATTAATTTGGAGTACTTGCTTTTTGGACTTTGTTGTCTGATATTCTGAAGAATGCTAAAGAACACAACGTTTCAGACTGGATCTGTTTCCATCCTCAGCTAACCTCAGTCACAGGATCGTGATTGAGATTAGCTCTTTCTGGTGGACCCAGCAGAGTAGGTGTCTCCCATCTCCTCACCTGAGGATGGAAACAGATCAGGTTTCCAAAATATTGTATTCTTTATTGTACTTTAGAATATCATACAATGGGCAAGTCCAAAAACCCAGTAATCCTAAGTGTTACACACCATTATCAGAACCCTTTAGAATCTCATCTGTTATTAATGTTTTAACATTTTTAGTTGTTCTTCTGGAGAGACTGGACAAGGATTTAGACTTAAAATTACTGGCCAACCCTCAGGAAAGAGTCAATGTGTCAACTATCCATCGATTCAAGATACTAAGGAAAAGACGAAGGAATAGCAGAAAGGCCCATGTGAAGAACAGGAGGAGGAAGAAGAAGAAAATGTTAATTTCTGAAAGAAGAAGGAAGTTACAGTGAGTAGATAACCTGTAAAGGAGAAAAGAAGAACAGATGAAATGGAAGGTGGCAAGTTGCTGCTCTGTGAAAATGCATTTGCACTGTAAAGAAAAGACAACTATTGATAAAATGTATTGCATTGCAATTGTAAAATGCACCAGGAAAGTCCTCCCAATTGAACTGCCAGTCAGAAGGATGACCTGGAAGGACATGATCCCTGGATGGTTATGAAGCTAAACAGTTATTAGGTAGTAGATCAGTTGATGAAAGAAGGAAAACTCAGCCTGAAAATATTCTCAGTGTTGGAATTGAGAAACACAATGCAAAGACAGAAAGTGGATAAGTCAGTAACAGAAGCCGCTGAAAGCAAACAGTATAATTTTCCGCAAGGTATAGCCAGTGTATTATTTAATATGAAGACATGAATGTTTTTACAGGCTATTTTTAAGTTGTAATTATATGCAATTTTTTAAAACTCTTTTGGGATAATATATATATTCCAATATGTGTTTTCCATCATTTTGGCTGGAATTAGTGGAAAACAAAATCTGTCAGTAATAGTTTTATTATTATTACCTCTTTTAGAATAAAGTACAGGTCTTTTTCATAAGCACACAAAGCCTCTTCAGCCTGATTTAAAAATTAAGTTTTTTTTTTGAGCTCTTAGAGCTGTAGCACTGGAACTTTTTATACTTTGTACATCCAGAAATGTGTGGACCCTATGGGAGAAGGAAAATACAGCTAATTTTTTTAATAAATAATGATCACCATTATGGATGGTAACATGTACAGCTTATTCTGAGCCAATTCAAAATAAAAATAACATTCACAGAGAATAGTTTTCAATGAAAGGGATGAGCCTGTTCTATGGAGTACAGCCCGTCTATGTTGGGAAGAATTTCCATCTGCTTCAGGCATAGGTCTGCATTCATTTGAAGTATGGTCCTATATTTGTTCTTAATTCAAAATCATAGAAAATGCATTCTCATACAAAAAGGTAGAATCACTTGGCAGTTTCTTCATGGGACTGAAGTCATCCACATACCCATAATTGAGGCTCCCTTTCAGTAACACCATATGGCACTTTTTTTGTGGCTGTCCTTGATTTCAGTGGCATAATGGTGTGCAGAATATTCTGAACCTACTAACAGTTTAAAGTTTGCTGTATATCTGCAGTATTGTTATGTAACTGCCACTCAAAAGTTGGCTACCCTGCTGTATATTATGCTGTAATGGTATGCTATGTAGTAAAAGGTAGGGGGTGAAAAGGCAGGAAGAAATTTCACCATGCCCATTGAAAAAGCTTAACATCAGACAAAACAGGAAGATAAATGTGACTCACTGGAGAGATATCAAGAGAAATATGCTGAAAGATGCTGGAAAGGCACACAGAACCCAGAAGGGAAGGCAGATAAGCGGAAAGTGTTCATCAAAGTAGGTAAGTAGTATAGTGCTGTACAGCTTTATGACTTCAGTACCTTCAGTAAGAAAGAAATGTCTTGTTGGTATGTATAAGACAGTATAATATGAATTTATTTGACCTTATCAGTTACATTGGTGCTATCATACTGTAACGTGTTTCGTTACTGAATACGCCGTAGAGATCGTTAATTGGTTTATTTAACAACCTACAAATCTCAGCTACAATTAATTATAACAAAGTTGCGGGGTTTCACACTTTATAACCCTATTCGCAATAATCTGTTCACGCTATCTTCAAGAGTCTTCACGTATTAATAACGCGGGAGCTGTACAAGTGTCTCTGAATTACACACTCCAAATATAACTGTACTACAGCGCACACAAAGTCTTGAAAGCACACAATACACGCTACTGTATTACATACTCCCAATTACACAATTACACACACGTCCAGTTCTTCTTTCCGTGAATGCTGCTATACTCCAACTGTAGGCTGCTGACTGGAGAACTGTCTTCGGCGCTGATACACTTTAACTCTCTCCAGGGATGGCTACAAGTTAACTCTAACTCTGGCGCTGTGCAGTTCCCTTATATAGCCGCAGTGCTTGCCTGTTACATAATGAGTGCCTTGTCACAGTAGGAACCAGTGACACATCGCCATGTTTGCGTATAGCCTAGCAACGCTGTTTACTCGTGCTGTGTTACGTCACCGTGGGGAGAGTGGCGGGGTTATGACTCGCCTGTTACCATACGCCACGTACCGCTGGGGAGGTGGGGGTCCTCCATTGCGCAACATGTCACACTACATTTAATTTAATTTATGTGCATTATTCTGAGGGTCTGAAAACTTATGATATGTTGCCTGTAGTGTATTTCATATAGGCCTTATCATTTTTGGTCTTGTATTATTAAAAAATAGTGTATACAAACTCATAAATACATGAAATTTCATTCAATCAGTATCTAGAAACTGTCGTCCCTATGCCATCCCAAGAGAAGCTGTAATATTAAAGGTAGCTTCCTGTTTTCAGAACACAGAACTTAACAGTACAGCTGGTATGTTATGGAACTCTCCTATAGATGTTACCTACTGAAAAATCTATTTGTGGGTCATGTTTTAATGGTGTTCTGCTGTGGCAGTGTGAAGCTTTCAAAATCAGAGTAGCTAACAGTAAAATTTTAAAAGAAATTTAACTTTTAATTTCCAGATCCTTTTATGCAGTCCATAGTCATGGTTCAAGAAAAGTTGTGAACTTGTGTTGGAGAGGAAGGAAACTTTGATCATTGAGTACTGTGGATGTGCATATGCCAAGCAGTCTGCACTGCTGGCAAAAGTTGTAGAGATTGATGAAAGAAAAACAGAACCCTGGGAACAGCAATGCTACATCTAGACATAAGTGAACACTGAAGTGCTAATTGGAGTTAAACTCACAGAGAAAGGAGGTTTGTCAAAAGACTGCTTAATGTATTTGCTATAACACAAAGGCAAACTTAGAATGTACAAAACCCAAAAATTGTCCTTATGCTATGATGTTGAAACTAAACAATCACATAGCAAGTTTCCCTAAACAACCTAGTCAGTCACTACAGAAGAAGTAACTCCAAGACATTAGTTCAGTCTTGATACTTCAGAAGGCATGTAACCTGTGTTGGGAGAAAAATCCAGGAACAAATGCTTCAAAACATGTCTATGATATTTTTATGTTTGATTTCAATTTCAGATTGGTGTGCCATATTCTGACAAGTATTGTGATCAACTATATGTTCAACTTACTGCAGAAGACACTGAAAAGGCTACAACTGGATTCTCCTACAGTCATTTCCATCATGCAGAAAATGATCTGGCATTAAAATGTGACCAAGAGAAAGTACTATTAATTGAAAACTTGTAGTGCTATATGTAGATTTACAACAAGTCCTACACTTTTACATTCAAGCATGTTCTATTAGAGGCAACTCTTCTGTTAACAATTTGGCTGTGCATAATCTTGAAACTGTTGATGTAACAATGACTGTATGGCACAATTGTACTGGTAAGAGAAGGTCTGCAGAAATCTTACTCTATATTCTTAAATATGTTCTTGACTGTTTTGCATCTTTGACAGTCATTTCAGAAGAAAGGAAACTCATCATATGGTCAGATAGATGTGTAGGCCAGAACAACTGATGAGTGTTGGCTGTCTGCTCGTACCTGGTATCTAGATTCAGTATGGTTTCTTTACTGAAGTTTACCAGAGGTTCTGTGCTCAGGGCAGAGCTTCCTGCCCTGTGATAGGGACTTTGCCTGATATAAAAAACAAGAGAGAAAAAAAAAGGAAGATTATTTATAATGGCAACATAAAGGAAATACAGGTATTCCTCGATTTATGAAGGTAACTCATTCTATGAAAACTGTTCGTAAGATGCATATTTTAAAATAAAAAATGGCGTTCTCAATACTTTATATGTAAAAAACATGACCTCTTAATGAGTCCCAGAAAAATCTTCCACTGTTTTTTCAACATATGTTCTAATGAGGACAGTACTACTTTTTATTTATTATTCCACATAAAACTATTAGTTTACTCGTTAATTTCTTATAGCTGATGCAATTAACACTTTGCGGACCGGCGATTTAAATATTTAAATCACCCTGGGGACCAACATTATTAAACCTACTATCGTAACTTTTGCACTGTTCACTTTAAAAATTAATATAAAATCTCCTAATTAATTTTATGAACTAAAATTTTTGGAGGACACTTACCAATGCTCTAGAAGTGTTTTGTGTGATATTTCTGGAAACATTCCCCTTTATGAAGTGGCATTACACAGAACTTGCAAATGTAGACATACTCCTTTTTATGTGAACTGTGCAAACACAGTATTGCCTAGGATGCTTCCCCTTGGAATATTCACTCTTCACAATTTTCACGAGGGTATATTTCCACATATCACCCGAGAGTTGCCCTGGGGGGTCCACATGAGGCCTGTGTGGGGTGGGTGATGATGGGCCTGGTTCTGCTGCCACCATCTGGTCTGTAGTCCAGGCCTTTGCCACATTCATCAGAAATACTTTATATTTCAATTTTGAATCAGGGTTTAGATTTTTATGATTTTTTACTGTCCCCACAATGTTATTACAGCATTATCGTCGGACCTACTGTCACTTTTACTGTCTGTGGCCACAATTCTTTGTTCACCCATCATTGCTGCTCCCTGAATCACTGAATGACTACACATCACATAAGGCAGGTCAACTGGCTCATCGGAAAAGAATTTGTCCTTGTCCATACCCCACCACTAACTACTACCCGATACATAGAGCTCAAAGCGCAGCAAAGCATTATCCTTTATAGTGGGTTAACAAAACAGCGATGTCAAATTACTGACTAGTAAGCAAACATTCAAGAGTTTTATTACACCATTGTGTGCAACTTGGGTGGTGCCAGAGGAAGGTATAGGTGTTACAAACTAACGTGTCCTAAAATCATGATATCATGCAACCAGTCCGCCACATTTAAAAGCCAAAAGCATGATATCATGCGACTGGTCCTCAATGTGTTAAATTATGCAACTTCATTATCATATAAATGAAACCACGTAACTGCTCATCTTCATGGCCAGAACATAGACTGCATGTTGGCATGGCTGCAGCAACAATAAATGATATTAAGAAGTTGGCTGCCCTGTCACTGTGACCTAAATATCCGGTGTACGATGTCAAGGTACGTTTCTTTCCTGGTATGAAGAGGTATTTATAAATAAGAAGACGGTGTTGTATGTGTATCCTTATGTACATATATGTAGAAGTTTTGATTGATTATCTGCCTGAAAGTACAAGGTGGTTCAAATATAACCGGGACTGATATTTTTTTTTTAAACCATAATTGCCAAACACTTACTTGCACATGTCAGTCTTCAATGTACTCCCCTCCGGAGTGAACACATTTTTTCCAACGTTCTCAAGGATCCTGATGCCCTTTTCAGATAAGGCTTGTGGTTGGCGGCATATCCACTCCAGAACAGTCTGGATGACAGCGTCGTCCCCAAACTGCATGCCTTGCAAGACTGATTTGAGCCTTCCAAATAGGTTGAAATAACTTGGGGCCAAATCGGGACTGTACGGCGGATGTGTCATAAGGTTCTATTTCATTTTCCAGGGAGTCTCCATTGTTGTTTTGGCCATATGGGGGCATGCATTGTCTTGAAGGAAGGCTGCCCGCTTTCCACTTGGATGAGAACTTTTTCTTCATGTCTGTTGCCAGGAGGTCTGAGTAATAAGCTGCACTGACTGTTCTGGCATCTGTCAGAAAGTCTACGTGGATAACCCCCTGCCGGTCCCAGAAGAACGTTGCCATCACTTTTCCTGCCAAACGGCTCGTCCACGCACTTTTAGGTTCCGGAGAACTGGTATGCCTCCACTCACGTGATGACTGCTGGGACACAGGAATGAAGTAGTGCACCCATGATTCATTGGTGGTCACTATAGACTTCAAAAATGCATCACCTTCATCTTCAAACTGCTGTAGGAGATGACTGGCGGCTTGCATGCGCAACATCTTGTTCACGTCTGTCAAAATATCTTGTGTACACTGCATGAAACTTCATGTACTCCCAGGGGGTAATAAGACATAAGGTCACAAAATTCTGCTGTGCTTCTTGTCATGGAACAATCCACTTTTCATTGTGGACATCTTAAATATACTTGTGACATGCTGTAGTAGTAACTGATGAAGTATGAAAATAGTCTCTTGAAATGTGACTGTAGCTGATACATGTTTGTTTGCAGAACTGTGAGGACCAGTTCATCTAGAAGCAGTAGAGATGTTATTAATGCTGAGCGACATCAAGTGTGAAACATCTGCATCAGCACCACTGAGGACACTTTGGACTAGGAACACAAGCCCATCAGAGTGTGCTGTCATTGGTAAATGTAACATGGTAACAAGCCAAATATGGTCTTTCCTCAATACATGTAACATCTTTGGAGCACCTTGCGAGCATTTTTATTAAGACCATCAGTAAGAAACAGAGTAAAATTTTCAGAAGTACTGTGGTTTTGTTCTTCGTCCATTGTCTGGTATTCTAGAAACTAAACAGAACATTTCGGAAACTGGATCTGTTTCCATCCTCAGGTGAGGGGGGCAAGACACCTACTGAGTTGGGTCCCTTAGAAAGACCTAACTTCAGTCTTGTGCTTATTATGCTATACATATTTTAACTGAAGTTTACAGTCAGCTTCAGGGGTATAAAAATAATATCTTCATTCAAAAGCTCATTCATTTTTATTCACATGGAGGTATATATATATATTGAGGGTGCTGAGGACAATATTTGGACCATGGGGAGAGGAGGTAAAATGAAGCTACAAAAAATGCATAGGAAGAGCTTCACAATTTGTTCTCCTCATTAAATATTGGCAGGATGATCAGTTCAAGAAGGAAATAAGCAGAACATGTAGTGAACATGAGACAGATAAGATGGCTGAATTGTTTTCCAAACCCTTACCTACTTATGGTTAAAACAGTCATCTATCATCTCCTTCATTGCTATATAACCTCTGCAGTTGAAATAGCACCCTTAAATACACAAGGAACAGGTTAATTGTGTGACACTTTCCAAGAAGTTCCATTGTCACTGGATCATTTTCTGTGACTCCTTGTGGACAGTATAACAGCACACAATGTTTCTGAGGTCTCTATCCACGTTCAGGAAAGAGGAAACAGTGCCAGACAATGGAGACCAAGCCAGTCACTGAAACATCATATATCCTTCAGATTCAGAGAGCCAACAATGTACAAAGGAAAAAAAGTGACTGAAGCACACACAACAAAACAATTTTGTAATGTCTTTGTACATTCTACAACTGCTGTGCACTTCACTCAAACACCCTGTCTATTACTTTTGCAAATGTTTGGTTAAACCTTGCTCTACTTTTAATGTCTGAGCACAGAATTTTAGACTCTTCTGGAGCAATTGTCACTGTTAGCATCAGACATTCCTCTATAAGATTCACAGCATGTTGTTCTTCTGCATCCAGTTCTCTGCCTGTGGTTTCCTCCTTGTATGTTACATCACACAGCAGCCTGAACAACATCTCCAGCAATGTTCGTGTGTGGGCTGGCACAAGTGGCCAACAGTGACGTATGAAAACCTGAATTGCCTGAAAAAAAGAGACACAAATGTACCTATCTGTGTTGCTTCTCTTAAGTGCAAATGGTAGGAGAGGAATCGGAAATAAGAGGTTCATGAGGTCTCACACTGTTATTTAGTGTGAGTCATTAAATAAAAAGATGATTCATTTTCTTATTTACTTCAGAATCTATTCTATTTTTTCTATATTTTCATGCTGTCATTAGGCAGAATATATGGCACCTACATTCTTCCCAGAGTATGAAAGGTTTATACATATCCATCATCTTAGTCAACATTTTGTACAAGTAGTACAAAAGAGGTTTTTGCTTCAAGTGTGGTGTACAGAAAATCTGGAAGGCAGTGAGTGGTGAATGAGACAACATGTAGAGACTGATTCAGTAAAGTAAAAGCTAGTTTCTGTACAAACAGTCTCACACTTTCTCATAGCTAAAATGTTTGTACAGTGGATTCTCAACATAAAGCTGGTGTGGAGGAGGAACAGTTGCAGTACCCATGTTGTAAGCTACCCACATTATATATGAAACCTACATCTCATTTCAGAATCCCTGTTTGTAGTTTGTTGGAAAAATATAACTTTTTTTTCAGAACATATTGCTTAACATTGGCCAAATACAGCACATTAGCCTGTTACTCTAATTATGTTGTAAGTTCACCACCACTTAACAGGAATTATCACTACTGTTTTCTAAGTCATTGGCTTCCAATTTTTCATACAAATTGTGATATCCTCTTCACTAAGAAGCTGTACAACCAGTTTCTACATCTACCTTAATCCAAACTGCCAGGTCACCTGCTTCTAAATTATTATACAGCCTTCACACCTTGCCATCTTCTGTGACATCTTTTCCGACACACTCCTTCCAGCAGTTTGCAATAGTAGTTGGCATAATTTTCCCCCAAGCTAAAGCAACAGTGTATACAACATCCTTCAGTATTTAGTCTTTACAAATTCCATAATTTGCAAATGAGAATTTACAACTCCACCAAGTAGTTCACTGTGATAGAAGGCTTTAAAGACTCAATGATACCTTGATCCACTGGCTGCATTAGTGCAGTGGAATTTTTGGCCAGAAACATAGCTTTCATCTTTCCATCTTTTGACTTCAGGACTTCAGCAGAAGGATGGGCTGGACAGTGATCCAACAGCGACAAAGCTTTCCTTCATTTTGTTTTAATGCAAATTGCATCTTACTGATGACACATTCACATGCCATCCAAGCACTGCACCTGTCTTTGTAGATCACAGGCTTATGTTCTTCAAACACCAGAAACTTTGGCTTTGGGTTTTATTGATGCACAACAGTACCAACTTGACTGTCTATCTTATTGGAAGTACAGCACTGACATCACTCTTTATTAGTTTTCATACCCATTTTGCTGGGTCATTTTTTAATATCTAATGATTTGTTTGGAAGCAGTGTGTAGTATAGTGCTGTTTTGTTACAGCTGTAAAATCATTCATCAGTGTACTCATTACCTTCAGGATTCTGAATGGCTGCTGCACTGTCATCAGATACTGATTCACCTCCAGTGCTAATTTTGGCATATTCCATGTTAAACCTTTCACCTTTGAAGCAACTGTTTGGAGCTTTAAATGTCTCACCCTCATTGAGCAGTTCATTAAACTTAACTATTTGAACTTTCAAAATTATACCATTTACTGGCATTCTTTCACTGTGCTTTATGGGACTCACTCACATGCCCGTTTCCACAAAGTCTAGTTTTCTTCTTCCTTTGCAGCTCTATATCATCTTATATGGAATGTAAAAATGAACTATAGACTATGTTATAGGTTCTAAACTATGATTGGAATACATGAAGGTTTCTGACATTATGTATGTAAGGGATGGTTGTGAATCGGGCACTATACAGTAGTCTCATGTAAACTCTACATGAAACTAACAAATTTTCTAACCCAATCCAATGAACACACTTAAATTTCACACTTGTAATGAAAATAATTATCTTTATAACATATGTGGACAGGATCCATATCATCTGCAGTTCCCATGCCTATGATGTTAAGCTGGTAGAACATTATGTTTGTCATAGTGCACAGGGACATTCTAAGATCACAAAATGAATTTCATCAATATGTATTTATGAAAAATGGAACAGTGTTAGTTTGCAGGGATTTGATATTCATGGTATGGTTTCATATTTAGGGCATTGATTAAGACACTGAAGACAGAAGCCACAACAGAAAAAAACACCACACTCCTGTTTAACATTTAGGCACTTTGTAAAGAATGACTCGATATCTGTCTGCTCCAGTTTTCTGCCATTGGCTGAATGTGCCTGCAGGACTGCTGACAGAGATGGAAGATTAACTGCTACTTTTTCTCTGTCATTAGAACTGGAGCCATCTTGGGGTGTCGTGTGTGCTTCACATAATGTTCCTCCATCAGCTGCTTAAATATGGGCAGCACCTTGTCAACATCTATGTAGTCCCGAAGAGTGCATGGAGGGTGTAGGGGAGTCACAACCTCATTCCACCATTCTGGCTCATTTAGTTGTAGGTTGTCAGGATCTGTTGGTTGTTCCACCACCGTGCTTGAAGACACCTACATGCTTAACTCAAGCAGCAATGTCCTGCAGTCAGACTTCGCCCAAAATCACAACAGGACATTCAAGAACATTCCATTTTGGTAGTGTGGTGTTACCCATCGCTTGTCATCTTATAAAAAGCACTTGTAAGAATCCCCGTGAAATTATGTTTTCAGATTTTTTTCACCCCCTGGTCCAAAGTTATAACACACTAGTGGTGTTTGCTGGTAAGAACAATAATTCAATATTCCAGAACTTCAGCAAAGGATGCATAGGGCAACGGCCAGTAAATAAGATAGCCATTCTGTTATGGGCCCCAACTTTCACATCAAAAACCTTTAGTCACTGAATGAAGAGCTTAGGTATTATACACACTTTTCTGTTTGAATCATATGGATACATGAGAATTTTGTTTCCATTGAAGCCGCAAGGCTGCTGGTGACTTCCTGATAACAAACTGTTTCATTTTATCAGAACTATACATACTTGAACATAGTAGCACAATAAGCCACTCCTTACTTCCTTTTCTGCCCTTGCATGAGTCATCTTTAACTGCAAGTGTTCTGTTGGGAAGCAGATTTATAACACAGGCCAATTTCACTTGCACTGCAAATATCCTGAGGTAAGTAGCACTGCAAAAGTCATTTAGGACTGGAGTCCAATCTTGCATGATATATGGGTCCACTGCAGCCAATTCACCAGAGAGCTTATGCATGCTGATGCCTTTCCTCAATTTAACCTTTAACGGCCGAATGTTATAATTATTCGCATCAAGCAGCACCCCGAGCTGGCCGAATGTTATAATTTTTAGGGACAAGCCACGTGCTTCCTTTGTGAGTGCTGGCAGTTTGACCTTGGGTTTGAAACCCAAACAAACTCATGAACGTTCATGTCAGATGTTTATTTGTTAGCTCTGAACAATGAAATCGTTTATCAGGGTACTGGTTTCGAAACTATTTACGTTTAGATATGACTGTTTATGACCTGGTGAGCCAATAGAGGTCAGCTTTGTTTTGAGAAGTTAGAGGAGGAAATATTCGTAAGCACTTTCATAGCAGTGCTGCCAGAGCTTTCAAGGAAGTGTGGCTCATTCAGGGATTGGTTTGCAGTGTTGAATTCTCAGTTAGGACGTCAGTGGCGGATTTACTATATTTTGTTAAAAGTTAGGAAGTCAGTGTCAGACTCCTATATTTCTTTTATATAATTTTTATTGTGTATCTCGGAAGTGGTATAAATACACTGAGCCAGTGTAACTTTGTGCGTAAAGACATCTTCGTCACTGTGACTTTAGGTATCAGTGGCGGACTGGCACTTTTCGACTGCTATTGCAATTACTTTGCATCACAATTTTGCGAGTATTCTTCCACCTAATAGACATGTCTATTCTCAATGAATATCTGTTACACAAGTCATGTGATGGAAAAATGACGCACAAAAATTTCCGCGAAATTTTGGTGCGTGATTTGATTCTTCAATCACATGAGGCGAATATCACGGTCAGTGGTGTTTTTCGAGGGAGGCCAAGTTCATCTGGGGCCCAACTGAGTCGACTGGAGGTGAAACATTCAAAACACTGACCAGCTAAAGGGAAACAAAGACGTTTGTTCTATAAACAAGAAAAGCGGGAGCACACTTTACCGCTGTAGAGTGTGATGTCGCGTTCTGTGATGGACTGCTTCAAGAGTGGGACACGCGTGTCAGAGTGTAAACTGTGAAGCGATGCAGTCCAAACCGCGTACAGTCCGAACCAAATATTATTGTATATAGTGTCGTCATATTTACATCACCACCACGATTCAAGGTTGAAGAAAAACAACAGGTAAGTCCTTTGGAATTTCATAACGTATATAATAATGATTATATTTTGCAATTCATGACAAAATACTCACAGTTGATTTTCATTTGTATAACTTGCCCTTTTGTATATATGTAGAAAATTTTATTGTCTTTCAGGTTCTTTTTAGTTCATATTCCGATGTTGCATAGAACGGAAAATATGCATTTTTTTCTGAAAGTTTTCAGTGTTAAAGACTTAGGGCCATTTAAATTCCGGCCGTAGGGAGCTGCCGGCAATTTAAAAGTCCGTACGTTAAAGGTTAAAGCGATGAATCAACGCTTCGGTACACTATTCCCAGTTTTTAATCTTGCCATGAAATGACTGGCCTTTGCCTTTATCGTGGGTCTGTCAACTGATACACCAGTTGATCTCTCCTGACAAAGACCCTAGAAGAGTGCAGATTTGAAGGCTTCCATCACACAGAACAGCAGACTGCATTTTGTGTTTGTTCTGCAGTATTACAAATAATGCTGAAGAAGTCAAATCATACTGTTTTCCTGTTTCACTTCTAAATGAGACACAGATTTCTCAATGAAAGAAGCTACTGGACTGAAGGAGAACATTTTGTGATGTGCATTTCTGAATGATTAGAGCTTGGGGGTATAGAAACCTGACCCTCAGTGGATGTTTAAATTATGTATACCTAAAACCATCGTACCAGTCAAAAACATGGCACACGATCATTTTCACCATTAACTTGCAGGCTGATCAGTAGGAAACCCATTTTTGATCTCTTTTCACCCTCCACCCACACTTACTGAGCCATGGCCAAGCTTGCAGATTGGTGGTGGCAACTTCTAGATTCTGGAACACAGCCTTTCTTCTAGATAGGGCTAGGACAGAGAGGATTGATTAATGGGGCCACTACAGACTTCTAACCATAAATAAATTCAGAACAGAACTGTATGCAGTTGGTAAAATACACTAAAACAAAGAGTGGTGGCTAGTTAGGAACTGATTGTTAGAATGAAAACATGATAAGTTTTCCATATATGTGATGTTAAGAAACTGACATTTCCATGGATTTTGCTACCATAATGAAGTCGTCATAAACCATACTGACTGTATCACGGTATGTATAAACTAGATGTCAGATATGGAAAACAGATTTTTTTCACACATTTATTATACGTAATCTGCAGTAAATGTATATTTTCAATAAGTACTGGCTCATGAATGAGTTATGCTTTGTGGCGTAACTCATATATACATTCTTTTTTGTTCAGTTAGATATCATTTTAACTCTTATATTGGGGTTTTACTCAGGTCTAGCGTTTCAGTTAAAACGGTGTATGTATTCAGTCTCTGTGTAGTTTCACTATTGTCTAGTAGGTTCACTGCTAGTGCATTAGTATGGTTTTCTAATTTTCTTAAGTATTTGGTATTCCACTTTTTATTTCACTGAGCACTGTGTTCATTTGTAGACCTTCACTGATTCTCTGGCTGTTTATGTACCCAGGTGCATTCAGAATGGATCAGAGAGCCTTGGATTGAAAGTGCTGGAGGATACTGATGTTGGAATTGGAGGCTGTCCCCAATGGCTGAATTCCATAGGCCCATATGGGTCTGAGTGTACACTGCTTTGTATAGGAGGACTTTGCTTCCTATTGATAGTGTCGATCTTCTTCCGAGTAGCCAGTGCATTTGTTTCTCATTTAGGTTGAGCTGTTTGCTTCTTGTTTTGATGTGCTTTGCCCATGTCAGTCTTCTATTAAAATGGATGCCCAGGTATTTCACTTCATTTTTCTGGGGTAGAGCAACACTGCCCATTTGCACTGTCAGACAGGTTTTCTTGCATACGGTGAATGTAATATGCATGGATTTGTTTTGATTTATTTTAAATCTTCATTTCTTCACTGAATCATCAATCTTATTGTTGGTGGCTTGGAGCTTCATGTGTGGCTAAGATTGCTGTATCACCATTGAAGGTAGCAGTTGCTGTGTTGTCTGATGTCAGGAGGTCGTGTGTGTATGAGGGTGAGTCAAATGAAAACCTTAAATTTGTAATAAAAATCGAAATTTCGCGCCATTATCTTGTAAGTTGGTAAGTGTGCTACAAACAGCGTGCAGAATGGCCTGTAGGTTGCAGCATAGTGCAGATACACGAACATCATCACAGCACCAGTATAAGATGGCTGCCCCACTTGAGACTTGCATCAGGGAAGAACAGCATTCTGTTATTCGGTTTCTGTGTAGTGAAGGTGTGAAACCTATTGAAATTTATCGAAGAATGAAGTTTCAGTATGATGATGCATGTTTGTCACAGCAGCAAGTGTACGAATGGAGTAGGAAGTTTGCAAATGGTGTGACTTCAGTGGAAGATGCTCCTCGTCCAGGTCAGGCACATCGAGTTGTGACTCCAGAGAACACTGCAGCAGTTGAAGCCATAGTGAGGGAACACCGCCAAGTGACACTGAATGAAATTGCAGCAAGTTTAAACATTAGTCATGATTCAGCACACCACATTGTGCACGATGTGCTCCAATTTCACAAAGTGTCTGCAAGATGGGTGCCACAGCAGCTGACTCCTGAACTGAAAGACCGACGTATTGATGCTTGTGAAGAATTTCAGCAGCACTTTGAACGGGAAGGTGATGACTTCCTTGCAAGAATCGTTACTGGAGACAAAACCTAGGTTCACTTCCAACCGGAAACGAAAAGAGCGAGCAAGGAATGGCGCCATTCGTCATCTCCAAAACCGAAGAAGTTTCGAACACAACCATCAGCAGAGAAGGTTATGCTGACTCTCTTTTGGGACGAAAAAGGCATCATCTTGGAGCACTACATGCCTAGAGGGACCACTGTCACCAGTGCATCATACTCTGATCTCCTAAAAAAATCATCTTCGGCCTGCAATCAAATCAAAGTGACGTGGATTGCTGTCCACAGGTATCCTTTTGCAACATGACAATGCAAGGCCCCATACTGCCTGTACAACAGTTGTGACAATCAATGACCTGCATTTTGAGTGTCTTCCTCATCCGGCATACTCACCAGACCTTGCCCCAAGTGAGTGGACCACTCAAAGAAGCAATGGGAGGAAAGACATTCCATTCTGATGAAGAGGTACGCCACGCGGTGCATGAGTGGTTGCGCGGACTACTAAAAGAATTTTTTCCTAAAGGAATTCATGCACTTTGTAAGTGCTGGAGGACTTCCATTGAGCATGGGGGAGATTATGTTGAAAAGTGATACAGCTTTGTACCACTTTTGCACAATAAATAATACTCAAAAAAATATTTAAGGTTTTCATTTGACTCACCTATGTAGATAAGATATAGGACAGATTCTAAGACATCCCTGCAGTATGCCTGCTTAAGTTTTCCTTAAGGATATGATTTGATCTTTGAATTTTACTTGAAACAGTCTATCCATTAGATATGATTTTAATATTCTGTAATATGCACAGGAAAGGATTTTTCTGATTTCCAACAAGAGGCCTGGGTGCCATACTTTATCAAACTCCTGTGTGCTCTCTACAGAAAAATTTAAACAAAAAATATTTAAAAGGCAAATTGGAGGGGGGAGGGAGTAGTAGTAGCAAAACCAACATGAGCATGATGAGTTTTAACTATGAACACAATTAACATAGGCTCTCTCACTAGTAAGGCATGCTGAGCCTCCTCTTGCTCAGAGTATCCAGCTACTTCCAAGTAGCAACCACAAACACGCAGCAGGCGCTTGCTCCAACGGCACATCCTAAGTCCAGCAGCCTCGAGTAGTGGTGGAAGAGACGTGATGTAAGCTAGTCTCAGCGCCAGCCTGTCCTCCAGTTCCATAGCTTGCAGGAGTTTCTCCAGAACATCATCATATCTGGACCACTATAAGTAAGACAGAGCCCATAAATCAATTAACATTCATTTCACTTTAGTACCGATTTTCAAAGATTTGCATTAAGAGAAAATTACCATTCTACCAATAAAGAATATACAAGATTGGAAAGAATGTGTTCCATAATGAAGTACACAAAAATCCCAATAGCATTATTTGCAGTTTATTGTTACTTACTGCCTTGTGCAGACTATGACCTTTGATAAGTCAACATGGTTAAAGATCAAAATCACCATGATCTCTCATAGCATATTTCACCAAAATTTGATTAATGACTTATGATATATGTTTACAGCTCCACCCGGCCATCCCACACTTATATTAATTAGGGATGAGCATGGAGGGGTTACACAGCAGTGTTCTTAACTGACACAAAATATTATGGAGCACTGCATAAACAGTTTTCATAAAATAAAAATATAACAGTATAAGGAAAATTGATATAAAAAGTAGTCTCTTTTGATCGAATGGGTCAGAGACAGTTGAAAAAATTGTCTGCTCAAAAAAAAAGGGGAGGGGTGGGTCATCAGAGAAGAGCATCTGAGAAACATAAATTTACAGTGTTAAGTAAAGTGGATTTTATTATGGGTAAATCTGGCTGAAATTCAGAACCCAGACAACTTTCAGTGAAAGTCTCCCATATTGGATTTCAACAAAATCTGTGACAGTTTATGGTATCCATGGAAAGGACATTTATGACTTACATAAATTAGGCTTCATAATACAGAGTGGGGCACAGAAACTTCCTATTCTTGAAGGCGAATAAAAGAAAAATTATTGCTGATAGACAAAATTTATGTTTAGCTAATGAAAGAACATACTTTAAAGTTTTAAATCATGTAGTTTTAAACAAAATATCTTGAAGGTGGTGGCCACCGTTCTCTATGCACTGATGCAACCGTTTTCTGAAGTTCCTCTCTGTATGTTCGAACATGTGCACCAGAATTTGGGCTACTTCCTGCCAAATAACATTCTTCAGCTGAAGCAAGTTTGTGGGGCAATGTTTAAAAACCTCTGCCTTGATGTATCCCCATAAAAAATCACAGGGCCTTAGATCAGGTGAGTGCGCTGCCCACAGGACGTCACCTTGAAGCGAGATGAGCCATCCAGGGAACTTTGCCCTCAAAACTGTCATCGAAGCTCAGGCTGTGTGGGCCATGGAACCAGACATTTCCTAGATGCATTTCTTCAAGAGCTGGTTCGAAAAAGTTTTTAATCATGTTCACATACTGCTGTGAATTCACAGTAACTGCATGATTGTCTTCTTCAAAAAAATAAGGGCCAGTAACTCCAACTCTCGACAACACACACCATACTGTCACCTTATCACTGTGAAGTGGCCTCTCATGGAGCTCTCTGGGATTGTTACCACTCCAATAGTGCATATTCTGCTTGTTGACATATCCAGATAGGTGAAAATGTGCCTCATCACTAAAGAAAACAAGTGCATCAGGGGGTAAAGTTTCCCATAACGTTTCACATGCCATTATTCAGTTCTGGAAATCAAGTGGTGACAATTCATGCACAACAGCCATCTTATAGGGATGGAAATTAAGATGTTCACGAAGAATTCAGCGCTTTGAACGATTGGATATGTCTAGGACGACTGCATGTTTGCGAGCAGAGCATCTTGGAGATCTCAAAATCGACTGTCGAACTGCCTCCACATTTTCTGGCGTCGTAACGGTCCGCTGTCGTCCTGATGATTTTTTCACCACACTCCCAGTTGTCCTAAAGTTCTCTACCCACAAAACAATCGATTTCCGGTTGGGAACCGGACCTCTAGGCTTAATTCTGAAGTGAGTATGGAACGCACGCTGCACCACCATTTAGGAATGGTTGTTTGAAAAATAGGCTTCGACAGCAGATGCACACTGCTCACTTGTCCTATTCATGTTTCCTACTGAGGGGTATTAGACAGAAACTTCCGCGACTGCTGCGTTTGCCAAGCCTACCCCCACTTTTCTGCGACCTCCCCTCCCTTCACAATGCGTCTTCACAAAAAGTAAGTTTCTGCGCCCCACCCTGTAATTCAATATGCTAAGATTAAAATGTCCATCTAATGTCATGCCAGGAACTCGCACTTCAGATTTCACCAAAATTTAATGGTTTATAACACAGTAGCTGAAATAGGCCATTTCTGGTTGTGCTAGGCTTTTTATGGATCAGCATGATTGAAAGTCAGAACTGCTCAACAACTTATGTTACAGATAGATGGACAGACATGATCTTCACATGAAGCATTCCATTTAATAAGGAATGCCTAAAATGCAGGAAGATGGGTTACCTCAAGTGGCATGGCACTGACATATAGTTTTGTAAAATGTGATCTGTTGATTCAAAAGTTATTGTGGAGGTAAAGACACATCTATAAATGGACACTTTTATTTTAACCCTTTGACGCGGTCATTTAAATTCCGCGGCTGCGTCTCGTGCGGTAATATATTCAGCCGGCCATTTAAATTTTGCTCGAAAATAATTTATTCATCATTGTTCTTAAATTCTATGAGATAGGAACATGAAACTTTCACTAAAATGATCTTAAATGGTGGTTTTATAACCTTACCTTATAATATGGGCGCCCTGTATCTCGGCCATGGAAGCAGGTTGTTTAGTATTTG